GCGTATATACCGGTTTAAGCGTATATAGCGGGTTTGAGTAAATTTGTTAATCAACTCTGGCCATATCCGTGCCCAAACCTTTTCACTTATACCTTCCATAGACAATGGCACCCCTTTGACCTTATAAATACCAACAGAACCGTTTTACTGGCCCTAAAAAACGTCCTGCGGATATCTTTCATTAAAAAAAATCCCAAAATAGTTAATTTCAAGCACGCCAAAAGGCCTTTGCACCTCCTCCTTCTCCTCCTCCTCCTCCTCCTCCTGGACTATTGCAAATGGACACTTTTCTTGTATTGTGGGTGACTGCTTATGAGATGGTCCACTTTAGTTTACATTTTGAGTTAAGAAAGAGTGTCATTGATAAGAAGCCTCCTGTAAGACTTGCTTGACTAATACTATTCCCTGGATACTTACAGTTGACAACTCCACCACTGTATGCATCCCTGTGAGTCGCATGGTATATGGCTCTCTGGCCCAAGTCATAAGCCTCTTCTACACCCATGCCATAGTTGTACCCGCTGTCCAACACACCATAAGCATACGTTGAACCAGATCCAACAGAGAACATGTCATTGGACAGGCGAGTGCCATCACTGTCTACATAGTACAATCCTGGACCCTGAGAAATTTTACAAAACAATAAATTATTGTGGTCAACAACAGAAACAAAGAAAATATTGCCACTTTAATCAGAAATTGAATTACTCAGGCTGAGTGTTCCTATCACACTGGGCATGGTTATTGAAAGGAGACTCTAGCTAGCCTGCCAAGAGCATAAATGGGTGTTGATCAAATCTTAGAGAGAAATAGCAAAATCCTGGCATAACAAGTGGTGGATGAGCATCTCACCCAGGGAGAGAAGCAATATTTCTAGCTACTCCATTCCACAGAAACAGCAGGTTACTGCTGGCCTCTTTAATCAATATGCTCCAAAAAGGTTTTATACATTCTTTACTCATACATGTACTTTTAACATTCATTTTGCAAAGACACTCATGTGACTCACCCTTTTGTCCCAGCCGCATATCATGGTTCCCTGAAAAAGTAACAACACAATTACAATATACCATTATTATGCTCCTTAATTTGATGCAACCACAGTTACTTCCTTTAGGTCAATTAATCCACCAAACTGACTTGTTTCCTTACCATAGACAGTCCCATGCCTTTGTAGTTATACACCATGTTGGCAAGGAGCTTTGAAGCAGCAGCTACTGATATTCTTTCCTTGTTTCGTAACTCATATATCCTGTGGGTTTTACATAACATAAAATACATCAAATTCCTATGTTACATAAACCCTTTCACATATCATCATTGCTTCATAAACCAAGCTGGAGTGTTCTTACACTAGGCTTCTAAAGGTTCACCACTAGAGGTATTTATTTATCCTTTTTAAAAGTAGCACACACCTCTTTACACCTGAAACCTGTAAAAGGATTATGACCAGGTGGCACTTAAATTAAAGAAAGGAAAATGAACTAAAAAGTCACTTGCCTGCATTGTTTGGCCAGCAATCTCTCCCAAAAAGAACAGTCAGCAGCTCCACCAGCCATTGTCCCAAGAAGATATGGGTTGATTTCAATCACTTTCTTCACAGTCTGTGAGGCTACACAAAAGCAAAATTCACATCATTCCAGAGTTCAAAATCTACAATCATGTTTCTACAATTTTACTTCCAGTAATAGAATTTCATACAGAAAGGTGATGATGATATTAGAAAATTATTGTCAGAAAAAGCATAAAAACTAACAGAGATTATGTCAACAGTTGGGAAAATAACCCGAGAATGTCTTTCTGAGCATTAGCCCTAGAAAAGTAAAAGGGGGAGGGAGGCCACACCAGGCACAAAAAAATCTTTTGCCTTAAAGTGGGATTTGAACTCCTGACTTCTGGATTAGACCATTGTTTCTCTACTGACTGAGCTACAACGCCAGAGTGGGAGCATGTTATGGGTAGTTAATTAATTTTTGTGATATTTATGACAAGGTAGATATTCAGAGCTATAGCTGGTATGTCTTGTTTCAAAAATAAGACTAAACAACGGGGAGAGAGATTCACAAAGCTCTTAAAAGAAGTCTGTTTTTCATACTGCCACAAAATAAAGCAGTAGCACTTACTCTAAGGGGCTATTCACATGATTCTGAAAAGAGTTTTGTTCCAGAATGAAGTTCCTACTGCATTCACATGACACAATTGATGGACCCCGGGTTTTCATGCCAGATCAGAAAACAATACGCATGTGCCACCCACCCCCGACTACATGGTTTGGGTTCTTCATTTCAGAATGAAGTTAGTTTTCACTTTACATGATACCAGAATGAAATTTCATACCAGAACAAGAATTTCATTCAGATTGAAAACCGGAATGAACTCATTCCAGAATGACTTGTAAGGAAATGAAATTTCGACTTGGTATCATGTAAACAGATACAGAGAAACATATGGGGATGGAATGAACTCATTCCAGAATGAAAGTCTGGCATCATGTAAATGACCCCTAGATGTCAGCCAATGTCTTAAGCACTGGCTTATTTTGAAAAAAATCAACTTACCAATGTAGGATCCTGCAGTTGCTCTTGAATCAACTGCCACTATGACACCATGTTGGAATTTGAAGGCCATGGTAGTTGTCCCATGGTCGAAATGGATTTTCACATCACTTTCGCCATTGGTAAAAGGCCTCAGAAACTCTACAGGCTAGAAAGGGTCAAAAAAGGTCATGGCAAGCAGTATCAGCATGGTTCAATCAGAAAATACTGTATGATGTTTGATCACAAGGTCAAACATCATACATACATAAAACGTCAATTTGCTCATGACTGCTGCTACAGATGAAAATGAGATCCAAGTCCACACAATTACATGTGGCATGTGGAAACGCAGTCAGGCTAACTGATTCAGCCCTCAACAGATCTGTTGTTTACTTTTTCCAGAAACTAACTATGAAATTCTCTTATCTATGGTAACTTATCTAGCTAAATGGTCTTTTTTTATCTGTGTGTTGTTAAGAACAAAACTGTGACAATTTATTAAATTATTGTGATCACCCAAGCATTTTGCGTATAAAGTTTAAAAGATGCCAACAACATCATTTATTCAGCCACCTTTTACAAACCTTTCCACATTCAATAAATGAAAAAAAATATACATAAAAAAACATCTAGAACCCGATATTCTTCTTTTCTATTTAATATATGTGAAACAAGTCTCGTTTTCCGTTTTGTAGCATATATTCTACAGATTTGTTCTTGGGACTGACGTTGATCCGGCCCTGCACGTGCGGAAATGTCATAAAAGAAACCGAACTAACCTTGCCACGGACCAAACAAATTAAGATCTTGGAACAACCCCTTAAAACTGCATATTCTAAATTTAGCTTTAAATTTTTCATACAGCAAAATTTGTAGCCTTTTAACGGGGAAATGATGGTCAAATATATCTTTAATATGGATGTGGAGAACCTTCGCCCTACGCCAGATGACTAAGCAGTTTACAAACGTTTGAAATTAATGCACTTACATCGGTCCCAGGAGGAACAGCAAATCGACAATCATTCAGAAAATTCTCTGAAATGTCCTTGGTCAATTCGTTATCTCTTGAAGCACTCTTTCTTTCGCCGAAAATATCATTCAAAGAGAGATTTCCATAGCTCCGTGCTGCTGCTTGTACCGCCATCTTTACCTTCCCGACAGACGTTGCAAGCCTACCAAATACCCAAAGGTACCTTAACCGATACGGGAGGGGTGCGTTGACTGGCTGCTAACACTCTTTCAGCTACTTTTCTAGAGATGAGAAAATATTGATAACAAAAATCACGAAAAATGAAATCTCCTCTTATTTTTTTGGATAATTTCAAACATAGTTTATAGATTAAGGAAGGTACCTGTGTGTTTTAGCTTAACCCTACCCCTCCGTAGTTGATTCAGACGCGCTCCTCCTCAACATGGCGGCAATAAGCAGCTCCCGTCCGTGGCAATTCAAGTCCATTTTCATAACGGGCGGCAACCGAGGAATCGGTTTAGAAATTGTTAAGCAATTACTAAGCCTCCCTAATCCACCAGAGTCTATCTTTGCCACCTGTAGGTCGTTGGAGAGCGCGTCAGAACTTAACTCACTCTCCGAAGGAAACAATCATCTCCACGTGGTCCAAGTGGACGTGAACGATTTTGAAGGTTTCAATCAAGTTGTATCCGAGGTGGAAAGAAAATTGGAAGGTCGTGGATTAGATCTTTTATTAAACAACGCGGGAATCATGGATAGATCTACACTGGATGAAGTCACCGCAGAAAGAATGATCAATGTTTACAAAACTAATACTGTGGCTCCTTTGATGCTAGCCAAGGCATTTCGGCCTCTACTTCGGCGAGCAGCATCGCAAAGAAGCAAAGGAGATTTTGCTAAATCGTTCATTGTGAATATTTCATCCGGAGTTGGATCGATAGCCAACAACACTTGGAGTACAATGTATCCTTATCGACCAAGCAAAGCAGCCCTGAATATGATCACCAAGTCACTGAGCATTGATCTAGAAAGTGACGGAATTATGGCGGTGGCGTTACATCCGGGCTGGGTGAAAACAGACATGGGGGGACAAAATGCTGCCGTACCTACCAAAGAATCAGTTGAAGGGTTGCTAACAGTCATCGGCTCTCTGGACGATTCAAAAAATGGAGGATTCTTTGACTTCACTGGAAAGGCCTTGCCTTGGTAGAAAAGTATGGATGGATAAAACGTAAAAGATAAAAGAATTGAACCGTGGGGAAAAGGTTTAAAACATCAGTCATCATCAATTATTATGTGCGAAACGTAATCAATTGCAAAAATAGTGACTAAAAAAAATGAAACAATAATAAAAACCACTCAGTGCAACTGCCTAAGTTGTGTGAAACAACCCCTCCCCACCTCAGCTACAATAAATCATATAGCTAAAAAGAATTGGAAGGTAAATTCTTCCATATGCATGCAACAACGAAATATTGAATTATCTAGAGAAACTTTATAAGCATTATGCTTGGGCTGGAACATCCTGTGATGAAGATGAATGTGTGACAATTTGTTCTTGAAATAGTGAGTGGTTTAAATTTACAGAGGGGTTAATTGGATTAGTTTAGTTAGTGACACCAGTTATGCCCTGTAACAGGAAAATAACTTTCAAATTTTAGTGAAATAAAAATTGAAATAAAATTTTTTATTTGTATTAGGAAATAAATTACTGTAGAGACAAAAGTTTCACGGCAGATCATAAATATATTGAAAATAGAAAGATACAGTCCTCTTGATTGCTTAACCAGCAGTAAGCATTTTGTTTATTCAATGTAGAATTTTACAAGAGCACCTGGTACAAGGAAAAGTTGGGTGTGGAAGCACTAGATTTTTGGACTGAGATATTTTCACCAATTCAGTGCTGGTTTCTTTCCCAATATCTTTACATCGACTGGCTAACCTCCAACTAAAACTGTTTGACATAAGTACAGGCAAACCTAAACAGATTGTAATAAATGGAATAGGCCATTTACGGTTTGCCTTTTGCCTCTGTGTCAAATGAGTCTTTGCACAAAACCATTCATATGAAAATGTGTCCTGCCTATAGGTTCGTTTTATGCAAATCAAACTCATTT